GGGCTGCGGGGCCGGCGCCGCGCGGCCGCTCCGGGGCTCTCTGCGCCGCGGCACCGGGCGGCGGCGGAGGCAGCGACCGGCCGTACCGCCCCCCGAGCCCCATTGGTCGCGCCGCCCGCCCGCGGCTTGACGGGACTTGCAGTCCCAACGCATTGGCACCGGCCCCGGGGCGAGGTGGGGGGCACGGGGGGGGACAAGACACACCCGGAGGGAGTCCGGGCACTACGGACAGCGACAGACGGCGTGGCAATGGGGCATACCGGCCACGAGGGACACCAGGCACTAGGGCACTCCCGGACACCGGGGAGCGGGGCGCTGGGGACAGCAGGCAACGACAGGCAGCGGGGTACGAGGCACTTCATCACACACCAGCCACTAGAGCTCCGGGACTTGCACTTCTTTCCAYACCAGCACCAGGGCACAGGAGAAGACACGAGGCACTACAGCGGCAGGATTTGCACCAGGGGACACCGGACAACAGGATGAAGCCAGCAGCAGAGCACAGGGAGAGGCAGCAGGCACCAGAGGACACTGTGTTTCCCTGCTGCTGTGGAGTGCACCAGGCAGCAGCACCAAGAAACACTRGTCCCTGAGGGATATTAGGGGACAGCGAGCACCAAGGCACACCAGGGAACAGGGGAGCACGAGGGCACCTGGGGCATCAAGGACCAGAGGGTCCCAACACCACACTGGAGACACGGTGCCCTGGCTCACCAGGGACCAGAGGATCCCAAGGGATAGAGGCAACAGAAGCGAGTGGAATTCAAAGAGTTTAATGAGCGCAGGACAAACCCCGATCCCCCTGATCCCCCCCACCCCCCCCCAGTGCCCGGCCTGGCCCGCACCCCCAGGCCAGGCCCCCCACAACACCCTAGTCGACTTCTTCCATGCTGCTGTAGGAGGGGGCTGGGCGCTCGGCGGGGCTGGTGAAACGCTCGGGGAGGCCTTCCGCAGCCAGYGGCGGGGCTCCTTCGGGGGCCAGGCCGGATCCGAACGGCACCGGGGGCAGTCCCTGCAAGCAGAAGGTGGGCATGAGAGGGAGACTTGCACCCTGCCCACCCCTCTCCCTCTCTGCTCCCGGGGGGCTGGAGGAGTGCCTGGGGGGACACAGCTCCTCAGGGTAGGGACCTCACATACAGCACGTGCAGCCCCTGGGCTTAGAAAGCCCAAGGCAGGGCAGAAGGAAGCAGCGTGCCCCAGGCCCCCGGAGGCAGCCCCTCCGACCCARCAGGAGAGCCAGGCCATAGCACTCGCCTGCCCCAGGGGGCTGCTCAGCCAGGGCTGAGAGCAGAGCCCTGCATCCCAGCATGGGCAGCAGCGACGGGCACGGGCAGGCTGCCAGCACCTGCCAGAGGGCTAAGGAACAGTGCAGGGCCAGAGGGGATTTCCAGGGCTGAGAGCACCTTGTCAGGCCTTGCTGCTGGCCACCCACCGCCGGTGAAGGCAGGYAGGTGCAGGCAGTAGCTTGTGGGCCCCAACCCCTGGGGTGCCAGCACCAGCTGGAGCAGAGGTCAGCCCACCGGCGCCGGGCACTGACTCAGCCCCACGAGGCCAGCGCTGTGGGTGAGCGGGGGAAGCCGCTGAGACCCAGGGCTGTAGACAATGAGGCGACTGTTCCAGGACAGGCACCTCATGACCACGGCACAGCCCTGCCGGGCTCCCCGGCTGGGAACCTGCTTGGGAGGAGAGTAAACCTCGGCACGTGGAGGGGTGTGGGACAGAGGTAGGGGAGTCCAGCTCAAGCCCCAGCCTAAAATGCAGACAAACCCCTTCACTGCCAAGCATCCCTCCCAAGACAGCTGAGGGCAGTGTCAGCAGAACAGCAGTGGAGACGGAAAAGAAAGTCACAGGGCTCTGAAGTCACCTCTCACACCCAAATACGCCAGAGCTGTCTGAGCCACATTCAGCCAAGGGCAACACGTCTCAATGTCAGACACCGTTGGAGCTGCAGCCTGTGCCCACCCCCAGGGGACTGCCTGCTCCTGGCCCGCTGGGCTCCCCACACCCTGCACGTGTCCCGCAAGGCTACCACTCCACAGCTGGGACTGGAGCCCAGCCTGTGCCCCATGGCATGGGCAGGCAGAGCTCTCCCCTAAGCCTGCTGCCACACAGGGTGCACCAGTCACCCGGCAAAGCCCAAGGGATGGTCCTGGTGCCAGCTGGGTCACAGAGCGGCCTCAGGCAACCCCAGTGTGGAGTCCTCGCCTCTGTGTGGGAGTCCCAGCACACAGGACAGGAATGCTGCATCTCTTTGGAAAACCTGGCTTTATTAATGCACTCAGGTCATACCTGTGCTGCCTGGCCCCTTGGCTCTCCCACAGCATGGGCAACTGTGCCCTCACAAATTAGGTGCTGCACCACACTCCCCTGAAGAGACCAACTTCCCCAGATGCTGCCAGCACACAGCCCCACGGACTTCTGGGAGGCAGTGGCCCACAGAGATGAGTGCTCACCCTGGGCACCACAGTCTGTATTGCCAGGCTCCCCAGCAGCTGCCTGGGACAAAGCAGGGAAGCATACAAGCCCTTGGTGACAAGCCTGTCCAGCCCCAGCACAGGAGTACACCATACACAACTCCCAGCTCAGTTGGCACCAGGCAGCTGGCACCAGGAGGCTCAGCAGGAGGCTGGCAGGACGGAGTGGCTGGCCAACCACCATGGGTCACRCCAGCCCTGGGGGAGCTCAAGGCTCCTGCAGCAGCACAGCTGAGAAAGGCGGCCAGCCAGGGCTCATGTCAGGGCATCCCGCCCTTGCTGCAGCCTCCCAACAGGTCTCCACTTCCTTCTTGGGACCCAAGCAGAGATGGTTGATGAGCTGGTGGGGCTCTCAGGTCCCAGCTGCACTGCAGCAGCAGCACCATCTCTTCTTGAGCAGCAGGTAGCCATGAGATCTGCCCTGCTCCCAGTGGGCAGCAAGGAAAGGCAAAGGAGCTCCTGGTTCTGGGCTGTGCCTTGGCAAGGCAGCGGGCTGGCCACACAGACCTGCCAGCTGGCATAGGAGATGTCGGAGCAGACAGGCAGGAGCCGACAGCCCCATGTTCCCTTGGCGAGTCCTTCCCGGCGTTTTCTGTGCTGCTGCCCGATGTCTTCGTCTCACAACGTCCTAGGACGGCGCGTGCCCTGGCGGCCCTGCTCCTGCAGCTGGCCACGTGCCTGTGCCTATCTCCAGCGGGGCTGGTAAATGAGCGGGTAGAAGACGTTCAGGAAGAGAGCCACAATTGCGGCCGTGGTGGCCAGGACAAAGTATCTGATGCAGCCTTCATCTGGATGCTGGGGGGTGCCCGGACTCCGCTTCTGGCCACRGGGCCTCCAGGAGTTTCTTGCAGGCCTTTGGGGCGCCTCAAACTGCAGCTCTTGTTCTTCAGCCTCCAGTTCCTGCCAGATCAGAGAAGCCTGCGATGTGGAAACCTGCGTCAGCACTTGGAGAACACAATGGGCAACACCCCTTGCCTTCCCCCGGGGCAGGCGGCTGCCTGCAAGCCCAGCCCCGTGCCCAGCCAGCCCGCCTCCCCATGCAGCACCATCACGGTCGCGCCCGCCCCCGCGGCTCTTCAGGGTCTCCGGTGTGTGGGGCTCCTGGGGCTCCGGTGGGTGGCTCTGCGGGTGGGAGCATGGGCAGCTACTGGGCAGGGTCTTCACAGCACTGCAGGAGTGAAGTTGGCAGCTGGATTCCGACGGAGCAGATGCACTTGCATTGGTAGGTCCTGGCGGCAAGGGAGCAGGCAGCAGCCAGTCACAGCCCAACTTCTGTGATCCCAACAGGATCTTCCAGATGACAGCAAATCCAGAGCCAGCTGGAGCAGCAGGAGCAGAAGGCACAGCGCCAGTACAGCCAGTCATAGCTCTGCTTTGGTGGGTACGAACTCTGACAACCCAACTGTAGCCCAGCTTCCAGGAGGATTATCCGTAGGCAGCCAACCACAGATTGGCCCTTCATGACGGTGATCGTGCAGAGCAGCCAGTCAGGGCGCAGGTCTCTGGAGGGCACCCAGTGCCAGGGAGGGTGCAGGTGGTTCAGCGTGCTTGGGGACCTGTTGAGCCCCTCTGGGATCCAATGCATCCCATTACTGCTGGGGAACTGGCGCTGCCAGGGGCCAATCAGCCCCGGTGGCACAGAGTGACCCAATGAACCCCAGTGCCATGGGGCATACAGTAAGCCTCAGTACCAACTCAGCCCCTGAAGGCTCTCACCACCAGTGTGCAAAAAGCAGTGCAACTTTCTTGTTGCTCGGGCTGCCCCCAGTGAGTGGAGCTGCTCCAGGACACACGMAGCCCCACCGTAGGACAGGAACAGACACTAACAGGCAGCTCAGGCAGGCAGACACTAACATGCCAGACAGCCCCCTTGGCCACAGAGACAGCTCCTGTCCCCAGCAAGACTGCAGAGCTGGGATGCCTAACCAGCACAGGGCCAAGGGCAGCATGAGCCAGAGGGGCAGAGAGGCCAGGCCAGAAGGGCCCCTCGGGGCATGTATGTTCAGTCATGCCGGAGATGAGCTGAACATTGTCCTCAGACCCTGTGGRGCCACAGAGTTGCCAAGCACCGAGGGAAGTCTGCAGCACAACGATGCAGGGGGGCTGACCAGATGGGCACTGCAGCAAGCCCCAGCCTCGGCCTTCCTGTCTGACTTACATACAAAGATCAGTACAACCATTCCCTACCACTGCATACCACCAGCACCCTGCTGTCTGGCCCACCCCCAGTCCCTCCCTCCCYCCCAGGCCACCCAGCAACAGAGCTTGCTCTGGCAGGTTTCTCTGCAGCACCCTGTGAAGGCTGCCAGGCCTCTGGCTCAGCACTGGCATTTGCCTTTTTTGCACTTGGCTTGGCCCTCAGCTGGGCCCCAGCAGAAAGCGTCCCCCACCCTGCTTCGAAAGCGGCTCTGGAGGGCAAGTTCTCACTGCTCCCRGGCACAACCAGATCCTACTGCACCCCTCACAACCCTCCTCCAGTGCAGACCCCATCAAGGCTGTGCCCCTTCTTCCTCTTTCAGTGTCCTCCCATCAGCACTCCCAGACTGATGACAAAAAGCAGCTCTCCTGTGATCCCTCAGGACAGGGACTGTCCCAAGCTCACAGCAAGAACAAGGCAAAACAGGCTCCAATGCCCAGCCAGTGCAAGCTCTTTGGTATCAGAGGGCTGCAGGCACTGCACCACAGATGTGCCAAGCTTTGTGGGTGCAGGCAAAGACAGGCAGGGCCCTGAACGTGGGCACCTGAGCGCATTTCAAAGCTCTACAGCTCCAACAGTGCCGAAAGGGACGCAAGTGCTCACCTGGCTGGCAGCAGCYTCAGCAGAGGGGGTGCGCTCGGTGCGGTGGTCTGAGGGATGCCCTGGCAGGGGTCTCTCCACRGGAGAGTTCCTCCGGCGATAGAAGAGGACATAAGCATATCTGGTCACCACCTGGCTCTCATCTACAGTGGTGACTGTGCTGTCGTCGAAGAGCCGCCAGCCTGAGAAGGAGGAAGGGTTGAGCAAGCAGACAAGTCATGGATGCAGGAGCAGGGGGGTGGCGAAGGTGGCAGATCCTCACCCACGTCACTGCGCTGGCTGTTCTTGTCGTTGGGCAGACGGGCGTACGCTGTGTAGTGCCCTCCAATCATGCCTCCATAGTGGTTGATCACAGCGTACAGGTCATACATAGGCAGCTGCTGCTCACCCTTCCGACCAATGCAGAACTTGCTCAGGTCCAGACTCCTGTGGACAGACATGGTGACCATCAAGGGTGATCAATGTTATGTAGGCCAGGCTGCAGGTCAGCACAGGCAGTACCAACCCAGGTACATMATACCCCAAGCTCTTACCGGACAGGAAAGTCCACCATGTCATTGATCTTATCCCTCCAAATAAAGCTGCGAAAGGAGAAGCGCTTGAGCTGGATGATGAGGACGTTGGGCAGTCGCCACAGCATCAGCTGCTTGGAAGCCTCACGGTGCTGCTTGCACTTGGGGCAGTACCTGGAGGAAGAGTGTGCTCATTAGTGGCATGGGAAGAATCCCGGTCCTTGCAGCCCAAGCTCAGCCCCAGAGTCCCCACATGTGGAGCTGGCAGAGGGGATATGRGAGGGCTCAGCCAAGGGCAGGACAGCACAGTGCACAGAGCACTAGCTTTGCTTCCTGCTGGCTTAGCCCTTCCCAATGCACAGGGAAGGCCAACCCACCATTCCTGGCTGCCAACAGAAACAGCATGCAGGCCCAGGCAGCTCCTGGGAAACCCCCGCTGCTGCCTGGGCCTGTGGGCTGGAACCCACCCTGCTGCCTTCCTCACCATGCTTCCTCTGGGGCCAAGACTTCGGGTTTGGTGAAGAGATTGAGGCACTGCTCCAGGGTGAAGTGGCCAGCCCGGGCTGCTTCGCTGGCTGAGCCTGGGTCCTCCACACATTCCAACTCCTTGGATTCTACCAACACAAATTCCTTGAGGCGCTCATTGTTCTTCCACACCAGGGCAAGGGAGCAGTCATCTGTCAGATCCAGGGGGGTGTCACCTGTGAAGGGGCACAGACCTCACATATATATCTCAACAGGCTGGAGTAGGCCACCTTGCTGGAGCAATCTAGCCCATCCCAGCTAGATACAGAGATCCTACAGTGCTGCCAGACAGGGACAGGTGTCCCCTGGCCAGGTTCAACATGCTGGGGCAGCAGAGTCCCTCAGCCTGCAGGGCGCAACCCTGGCATAGCCCTCTCATCAGCAGCACCCACAGAACCAGCACTGGGTTTGGGCATCCCATTCAAACAAAGAGAAGACCCAGAGATCACAGGCCCTCTGAGGATACATGAAATTGGAAGGAATTGGCCTATTTGCTGAGGAGGAATGTCATGCCCAAGAAGAGCTTCTAGGCAGAGGCTCTGTGCAGCAGAACCCTTCCCTCCCGTCACATGCAGCTTTTACTGTCCAGTGTGAGCCACCATCACACCTGGGTTCACCCTRTGCCAGGCAGGCTCTGGCACCCTGGCCAGGCAGATCCACTGCCCTGCCAGAGGTTGTAAGAGACGAAGGTGGCACTTTACAGGGCTCTGGCTCACCTTTATCTTCCAGCTTGTGCTCTCGGTTGGCAGCGTCGATCTTAGTGATGTAGAACTGTGTGGCACGGGCACTCAGTGAGTCTGGAGTGTGCTGGTACCCAGGGATGGCAGCTGTGAACAGACAGGGACAGATCTGTGGTGGCMCTGCCTGTCTGCCCTGCGTAGGGGCCAAGAATTTGCAGCGCCCCCACCCCCACCTCACATGCTACGGCCTTGAAGGGACACAACCACGTGCCCCGTGTCCTTGACTATTTTTAGCAGGCGCCTGCCCCTGGCAAGCTGTGCTCCTCTGCCTGCCTTGCCCCTTCACTGCACATTGCTGCCATCCTGAGACGAGTGTCTGGAAACGTGACAGCCAGGCAGCCGAGCGCGAGAGGCTGGTCCCATGCAGCTGAGTCAGAGCGAGGGAAGTGCTTTGCTCACAGCCCCCAGGGGCTCAGCCTGCACCAGCTCTGCCCTGCTCCCACGGGACTTGAGGCTTCTGCCAGCCCCTGTCTTCCCACTCCTCCTACAGAAACACAGCACTCCAACCTCTCTCCTCGTCAKGTCTCTGCTCTACACCCTGGGCCTTGCCAGGGCAAGGCAGAGCGTGGGTAGGTAGGCATTTCAGGTGAGGCAGCACTGCCAAAACAAAGCTCCCAGGGCCTCATCTGTGTTCCCAAGAGTCTCCAGACCAGGCTCACAAGGGGAGAAGAGATGCTGTGATGGGAGGTCATCCCAAGGAGRGAGAATTGCCCGAGCTCCTGGCACAGACAAAGCTAGCACTACAGCACCTCTTACCTTCTGGCTTGAGGGCTTTCTCATAGGATGGCTCCTTCTCACAACAGCTGTCACCCTGCGACTCCATGTGCTCAGAGAACCCCGAATCCAAGCTCAGCAGGGAACTCCTGGCTGTCAGCACCTTGCTCCGGACAGTAGTAGTAGTAGTATCCCCAATCTCTGGGTGCAGCTCAGGCACAGCTGGTGAGAGTGGGGGCTCCTGCAGGAGGCTGGAAGCCCTGTCTCCATCCCCCAGCTCAGAGGCAGAGGTGGCTGCTGCACAGCTGCTTTTGGCCAGGGGCTCCAGCTTGTCCGAGTGCAGAGGCTGCAGCCCCTGCTCTGGTGACATCCGGCCCAGCTGGAATGGAGGCTGGAACACGCTGACTGAGTACCTGGGCAAGGAAGCGGGAGTTAGAGCTGGCCAGATACAAGGCTGAGCTCAGCTCTAGGGCAGAACTGTCCTTCCCTGAACTCTCACCTAGCGTAGCCCTCCAGCAGCTGAGCCAGGCGGGCGTAGGTGAGGCGGGACTCAGGCACACTGATGAGGAAGGGGAAACCGATGTTCTCAGGGCGGCACGAAGCCTTGTGGTCTGGCCAGTGGGTTTTCTGACATGCCCTGCAACACATACAGGCCCTGCTGAACCAAACATCCTTAAACAGCCTGGGAAGGAGCAGTGCAGGACCAGACAGGCATGCTGGGGACAAGGGGAGCATGAGGAGTTCAACTGGCTCCATCCCAAAGGGCAGACCCATGCCACCTTCTCTCAGCAGGCAGAGCTCTCCCATCCAGCCCTTCACAGCAGGATACTCTCCCTCCCTGCCAGGCACCAAGCCAACTCACACGTTGCAGTAACCGACTCGATAGCACCTCGTGCAGCGCTTGAGTTTCTCATCCTCCGGCAACTGCTTCTTCTGGCAGGCCGCACACTTGGCCACAGGGCCACTAGGCACCTGGGGACGCTGCAGGAGAAAGGACCCATTGGACAGGGAAGGGCACCTGGGCAGGACAAGGCAGCCTCGGTGGGCAGCCGTGTTTGCTGTAGCTAATTGTCCTTGTGTGGAGTTCTGCCCCTCCTGCTCAGTCCCACTCACAGCTCAGCCTTCCTGCATCCCTCCCAGGTAGTCCCAATATGCCTTCTTACCTGCTGGACCTGAAGCTCCACCACGCGCTCCTTGGCCAGCTCTGGGGATAGCACCTCAAAGCAGAGCAGCAGGTCTGTCGGTGAGACCGTGTCTAGTGAGTGGGACGGCAGGAACATGCGGTGGAAGTGATTCTTGATCACCTGCCAGGAAAGCAGTGGAGCATGGCCGTGTGAGGGTTGCCCCACGCGTCCTCTCCTCAGAGAGCCACAGACCTCAGCCTCACAATGAGCTATGGGAAGAGCAGCAGCTCAAGGATGCTGCACTCAGCTCACCACCTCACCAGGGAAAGGACGGTCCAGACCCTACTGCAGGGGCCCAACCTTCCAGAGCAGGGATCTGCCCAGCACTCTCACCTCTGCCAGGCGCAGGTTCTCTGGTTTCACRCGCACGCTGTGGGCCACTGAGTCAAGTACCTCCATGGCACTGGAGTTCTCCTTGCTGATACTCACGAGGAACTGGCACCGAGAAAGTGCCACATTAGTCACATCACACTAAGGCATGTGGGCCCTTACTTAACMCAGGGCTTAACCTGCTGGCACATGACCAGCTGCCTGGGGCACCTCCAGGAGCCTTCTCAGGCTCTCTCCCCAGGATAGAACGTATCCATTACCTTGATGGGCTTCTTGTGTGGCTCCTTTGCAAAGTAGTAGACAGTCAGCACCTTTTGCTTCTGTGGGAGGGGCACGGGGAGGTACAGGAAGGGGTCAAACGTAATAGACACCTGCAGGTACAAAAGCACACTCAGTTGTGGGAAGTGTTTGCRGCTGAGCTGCAGATCCAGTGGACCCAAGATCCAGCCCTGCCCTGTGGCCTGTGCTGTCTGAGGGTCAGAAGCCTGCTTTGGCACAGCCAAGACAGGGACAGAACTTCCAGGGTTGCCCTACCTTGGAGCACACTGGGCACACGAGCTTAGATTTGTACTGGCCCTGGAAGAGGTCTACTATGAACGAGTCATTCCTCATCTTGTGCCGTTGCCAAGCCTCCTCAGCTACCACCTGCAGGAAGAAAAGGCTTAGCACCTCACTAAACTGAACRGGCTGCTCTCCCAGTGACTTTGGGAAGGAATGCCCTCACCTCATCAGGCCTCCCATCCGAGTCAACAGTCTCTGTGTAGGGCTTGTTCTGGATGCGGTTGAGGTCTTCATGCAGGCCATCAAGCAGGAAGGCCATGAACTCCTGAGCATCATGCTGCGCATAGCCAGTGAACTGGCTGGCCTTGCTGGCCACAATTGCCTGTAGGGAGCACAAGGAACCAGGGCTGGCCAGCAGACTCCTGACAGCACTGCCTGCCCCATGCACAAACCCTGGCCGCACACACCCACCCACACCCGCAGCTCTCTGTGGCACTCGCACAGCAATTAAGTGCTCATAGAGGAATGCCCGGGACCCWCAGCAGCTCCTGCTGAGCACCAGTGCCAGGGGCCCTACCTTCAGTTTAGAGGGCTGGAAGGCATGGTGTGTGCCCTTCCACAGTGCTCTAAGCAGCATGGCAAAGCCGATGGCCAGGCGTCCCCCCGTCCCCAGCGGGTTGTTGTAGTTGATTTCTGACTCAAAAGACCGATCTGTAAGAAATGTAGGAGCTCAGGGTGGCTGCTGGCTGCACCATCAGTGTGGCCAAACTCTGCTGGGCTCCCAGCGTGGGCTCACCATGGAAGTAGTCACGCAGTTCCCGGGTGTTGGACAGGGACTGGATGACGCTGTTCATGAAGCAGGTGTTGCCCAAATTCACCAGCCCAGTGAAGCCAGGCAGGCAGACCTTCTTCTTCTCATCCTCATCCTCATCGTCCTCCACGCTCTCGGCACTCACAGGACTGTGTGTCATTGGTGGCACCATACATGTTGGTTTGGGCTGCCAAAGCAGAGGCAGGCATGAGTGCTGTGCCCTGGGGGTCTCTCTGGGAACACCAGAGGAACTCAAAGCCCAAGAAACCCCTCAGAGAGGACTGGAGCCATCACACCATCTCCCACTTGGACTGGGACAGACAGGCCAACAGCTGCCCCTAATGCTGCCAACTACGACTGAGGGGCAGTGCCTCCTCCTCCAGGAATACTTTGCCAGTCGCCAGAGTGACACTGAGGAGGTRTCCCTCTTTGCCTTACCCAGGTCAGAACCAGTGTGGCCACACTCACCGAAGGAATGTGTGGCTCTTGCTTCACTGCCACATGCTCTGGGGCTGTACGGGCTGCCACRCCATCCAGAGCCCCATCTTCCACACGCGGCTTCTCTTTGTCACTGGTTCGGGCCTCTTCCTTGCTGGACAGGGGGTGCTGGTTACTGCCCGGAGGGTTCTTATCCAGAGGGGTAGGGCCTGTAGGCATGGCAACCTTTGCACCACCCACTGCACCTTAAAAAGGGGGAACGGTGGGCCTGTGGTTAGCAGCACCACGCGCTGCCCACAGCAGGGCTGAACTGCTCAGTCCACACTTGCACACAGGCTCTCTCCTCCCCCTCTTCCTTGTGAGCAAGGGGAACAGCAGTGCCCTTCCCCKATCACTTGGCTCACACCTTGCCTCACATCCCTTCTACCTGCACCCACTCAGCCCCTCTCCTTCCCCACAATCCCATGCCAGAGGATCCGACACCAACTGGCAGCTGCCAGTGGTAGAGGGCCTGTGCCCCACTGGGGTGCAGCAGGCAGGCAGGACAAGAAGGCAGGGTGCAGACCTCGTGTGGCTGGAGCCTCCAGACCCCCCCAGCGCTGGCTGTGGCGTTTCTTCAGGCAGACATCGATGCGAGATACCGTGAAGGTGTAYGTGCACTGGTCCGGCTCAATGAGGTTCCTGCAAGGCACGCAGCAAGTCAGAGGTGCTCCAGACCTCGCAGCAGCCTCAGACATGCCAAAGCCTTTGCAAGGCAGAGCCATGGCCTCCTGGCAGTATRAACCCTGCTAGCACTGATCCTGAGGTAGGCCCTGGCAAAGCAGGATGGAAACCCTCAAGCCTCTCCACACTAAGCAGAGTCCACATACAGAGGGCCCCTTTCCTGACAGATTATTCTGCTTGGCTTCCTCCTGCTGCACATCCCACCCGAAGGGCACACAGTCTGGTCTGCCTCTGTCCCCAAGAGCTCTAGAACAGGCTGAGGAGAACTGCAGGCAAGGAGACACTGGGATTTCCTCCCCTGCAAGCCAGCAGACAGCCAAGGCAGACCAGGCTCAGGGCCCTAGTGCAGCACAACGCAAGTGAAACCTCCAGATGCAGAAATCAGAAATCATTCCCTGCATAGAACCACTAGCTGGAACTGGCTCCAGCTCTGCACTCTCACCTCCCTTGCCCTGGTGCGTGTCAGAAGGACAGGAGTCATACCTGAGCTTCACCTGCCACCGGAACACCGTGTGGGGCCCACAGCCAGGATGAAGACGCAGGAAGTTTGTGTCACTGCAGAGAAACTGGGAGTGAGCAGAGGTGAACAAACAAGCAGCCCAGCTGCAATCAGGAGGTCTACAGCAAACTGGCATCATCCCGAGGCAAACTTGTACCTCGTCTGGAACACTAGCGTGAAGTCTTGTTCCCGGAACAACACCTTGGATGTCTCCTTGTGGATCTCCTTCACATAGACATGCACCACCACGAGATCATTGCCCTTCTCGTATGAGTCATTCTTGACAAAGGTCAGGCTTACAAAAGGCTCTGGCTCTGTGCAAGGAAAGCCACGGAGAGAGAGGTTATCTTCCTTGCATACTGAGGCTGCAAGCTGACCCAGGAAAGGTCCCGAGCAGATGGACCTTCCTGACCAGGCTCACCCCATGGGCTCTGGCCACTCACCATCAGCTGCTGCTTCCAGAGCCACRTCATCCTTGGACCAGTCCCGCTTCTCACCATCTCTGCCCATGGGAGGGGTGGCCACTGGGATGGCCTTAGAGCTCTCTCCCAGGACAGGTGGGCAGTCCCGGCTCCGCAAGGCCTCAGCAGGGCTGCCTGGCTGCAGGATTCTCTTCTCAACACAGGTGGCAACACGGTGGGGGAACACCTCTGTGGTAGCCGCAAGAGGCGGCATCTCCACTGGAACAGTCTCCTTGGCCAAAACCACAGCCTTTCAATACAGAACGACACAGTGAAACACAGACACCATCACCCCTGTCCACCCACTGTGGCTCCTGCCAGCCACACCACCTGCTTCCCTGCACATCCCATGCCCAGCTCAGCCCCATTAGTAGCACAGCCCAGCAACTGCAGGGTGCTCACTTCACCCTCTCCTCCACCACAAGTCTTCCTGTCAGCCCTCAGCATCTTGGAGCCCACCATATCGGCAGGGATGGGTCCTGCATCCACTGCACAGGGGCAGAGGAAACAGGTACTCTGTCCAGCCAGGTGCCCAGGTACCTTTTCCAGTGGCAGTGCGAGTTCTGCAAGGGCTGCGGGCGCATCAACCTGGCTGGCTCTGCCGTTGCGGCGGCTGCTGGCCCTCCCACTGTGTCCTTTGCTGGACTCTGTGTTCCCAGTGACTCTGGCATTCGGCTCCTCCTCAGTGGGAGCCACTTTGAGGTATACTGCCCGCTTGGCGCTGGGGCCACTCTGTGTCCCTGGGCTGGCTGGGCTTTTCCCTCCCAGGGCCTCGCTTCTTCCTGGAGCACGCTTGGGGTTGGAGGGCTCCCGCCGGGATCTTGGTTGTTCTGTGCCTTCAGTCCTTGGCTCTTCAGGGGTCAACTCTGCAGAAGCAGCCTTCTCTTTCCCATTCTCCCAGCATGTGGTCCCTTTGGCATGTTCTTTGGATCCGTCTTTCCTCTTTTTCTGTAAAAAACCATGGAAGCACAGTGTGAAGGTATTCAGGTAGCAGCATCTTTCAGGCTCTCCATGAGCCCCTCACCCACACTTCCCCTTCCCAGACTGCACCAGGACTCTTACTCCAGAACCTGGAGACGCATGGCAAGAAGAAACCGGGGTAGGATTCCCTGGGACAGTGGCAGATGGCTCATGCAGCATGTGGATGCAGCATGTGCCCCACACTGCCCCTAGGCAGCTTGACAGCAGGGAGCTCRGAGCTCACCCCAGCTCCCCAGGGCTCCATAAGCTCCCTTAAAAGGCAGATCATCCCCTCCTCACCAGAAGTGAAGACCAGTTATGGAGTGGGATCTTCTTCTGAAGCACAAGCTGGAGAAAGTTGCCCTTCTTGCACTGGATCTTGCTGCAGGAGCCCTCAATCTCCTCATAGAATTGACAGCTCCACTGGCGCCCGTCTGTAAAGCACAAGGGAACCAGCAGCTCAGGCAGTGCTCCAGGCAGCTGTCACCTAACCCACAGCCCCCTTTCACCTGCCCCAGGATGAAGGAAGCACTCATTCAGAGCCAAGAAGGCTGCAGGCAGGCTGCCACCATACCCCAGGAGCCTTCCAGGGCTCCAGCCAGCTTCCTTGAATTTGCTTTGTACATCTGGCTGGCCTCCTTCCCAGAGGGAAGGCCCKGGGCCTCCCTGCCCTGAGTGTCACAGTCACTTTTCCAAAGGATACCCAGGACTGACTCAGCCATCCCAGCAAGCAGGGGACAGAGACGCACCGGCGCGGCAGCGGACACTTGTTCACTTGGCACAGAGGCCAGCTCCTGCCCTCCCCAGCTCTATCCTGCTCTCCTATCAGCCCTGTCTGTTGCCTGAGGCTKTGCCAGCTGACAGCAGGGCATTGCCTCTGAGGGAAAAGTTTGATGTCTGCCTGCATCAACCCCGTGCTTGGCCCAGAGCTGTGCCAAGTCCCAATGGAGAAATGCCTGCAGCAGTCACTCCATTTCCATACCTGGTAGCTTGAGCACACAGTCTGTGTCRGTGAAATCAGCATGTACATCCTCTGCCTTCAGAGCTCCACTGCCCAAGTTTAACTTGATGATGATCTCATCGGCATTCTGCTTCCAATCCAGCAGCAGCTCTAGGAAAAGAGAGGGAAGTGTCACCCACTTGCTGGGGAATGAGCCTGAAGTGCCCACTCCTTGGCTGGGGAACACGAGCCTGAAAACACACACAGTTAAGGAGGTCAGTAYAGAGAACACACATCATGGCTATTAAATGGAACCTGCCCTCATCAGATAGGCCACAAACAAGAGCACGTGTTGCAGCAGGGCAGATGAATCCCGGTGGGAACCGGAGAGATCAGCACTGCTCTTGGCATTGTCACAAGCAGCAGTGGCAGCTGGGAAGAAGGGGTGGCTCCTGCCAAGGACGAAGCAATTACTGCTTTCCCAAGGAACGAGGAAGCCACAGAATCACTCTGGGGGATTTAAGTGGACTCTGACCACAATCAGAAATTGCCACTTCCTTTTTGCATATGCAAACCAAGCAGCTCAGCTGCAACCACCAAAGCACTGTACTCCTGCCAGGTGAGCATGGCTAACACRGCTGAAACATGGACAGGCCAGTCAGCCGGGCAAGTATGCTGCAACTGGGGAGAAAAGAGTACAGCAGTGATACTCTGGTGCAGGCAGAATTTTCACTGTGTGCCTGCCAGGCTCCAGGTGTGGCCCTGTGTGCCCTGAAGTCTTCAAGGCAAAAAAGTGATTTCAATCACCTTGATTCCAATCTGGTTTGTTCTACACCTGGGGCATAAGGATGTCCCACTCTGCCCTCAAAGCAGGCCTGGACTGAGACAGAAACCASGCAATGCTGCCCACAAGGTGACATAGCTTGGGATCTTCCCAGCCCAGCATGATGTCCTGCTCAGAAAGAAGCAGAGCAAGTGCCAGCAGTGAGGTGTCCTAGTGGCACCATGACACCACAGTTACAAGCAGCCTGCCACATGCCCAGGGCCTCTTCCTTGCAGACAGCCCTTCTCAGCCATGTGCACATTTCTCCACCCTTGGGAAGGCCACATCCTGTTAAGATAAACACTGAGGCAAAGGAGTGCTTAGGTTAGCTCTGCTCAATGCCTGGGACGTGGGACAACAACAAGGTGAGAGCTTCAGATCCCTTGGCAAGGGCACTCCATGGCCATGCACTGACAGCTGGTGCACACCTTGACTTACCCTCCTCTGAGTCCTTCTCCTGGGCAGTCTCAGCCTGCTTGAGCTCAGGGCGAGACACTGRTGGGCAGAGAAGCAGAGTGCAGGCAGGTCTGTCATTCTGTCACCTCACAACMTAGGCCAGAATACTGATGCCTAAAATTTCACACATCACCTACTTCTACCCTGAATCTGTGTCCAGGCCTTTCGTCCTGTGTGTGTTGCTCCTGTCACTCCTCTGCTTTCTCACACTTCTCCTTTCCCAGAGCCCTGCCAGCAGCACCACTGGAAGTCAGCCCTAGGGCAGCTGCTCTGGGCCATACCACCATATCCCAGGCTAATCAATACGATAGTGGGAGCAACACAACCGTACTGCACCATGTAGGCAGTGCTTTTTTGAGGCACATCTCATTGTGGAGCTTGTGGTACCCAGGCTGAGCTGTGTGGCCCAGCTTGGTGCACCAGGTCCCTGCCCCCAGCCATACAGAGAAGTCCTGTCTTGATCTGACAGAAAGAGCCTGATGTTTGGTCATGCTCAAACCAATTCTGCTGTAACCAGAGAACCACATGGCCTAGCTGCACTTTAACATTTCCATTCCTGCACAAGCTGCCAACATACACATCTGAAACTTCCTTCCAGATCAGGGTGGGGAACCAAACTGACCTGACACCTAATCCCTGCTTCCCAGAAAATTACCTCCAACAGCCRTAAGTGTGTCCAGGCCCGCTTTACCCCTACAGGAGAGTAAGCTCTGCCAGGCAAGGGACTCAAAGCGACAGCACCTTCYCCTGGAGCAGAGAAATAGTGGCAACAGGAACTGTGGTCTCCACTCCAGAACACTGGAAGGCTGTCACTGCCTCCCTCRACTGGCTACAAACCAGTAGGAAACTTCTGCTGACCACTACAGCCAATGGTGCAAAGGTGCTGTTGGGGCTGGCAGTGTGAGAAGCACAGCAGTGGCATTGCCTGGAGGATCTACAGCCCCTCACCACCTCTTGCAGAGGGGACAGGGGCAGGGGCAGCACGACCACCCCSGAGGAGGCCCCCATGTCAGAGGACGCAGAAAGTCAGACCCTACCACAGGTGCACTCCTTCCACAYGAGAGAAAGCACAATGCTGTGCTCTGCACCGTGGGATTTCACATTGGGGACTGTGCCCAGCGGCTCTGGTACAGACCTCACCAAGCACTCAATTACCTTGGCCTATAAAACACCCTGTGATTTTGAGGTTACAACAATCATAACAGAGCAGGCACAGAAATCAAACAGCTTTCCAGAGCCACAGAAACTCTTGCTGGCATCCTACCCGCAGGCATTCCCTGCACCTGAAGCATCATTTTTGTWAAAGGATACATGGCAGTTACAGAAGAAATTACTCTACGGCAACTGTTTCACCTGAGCCACACCTTGCCCTGACTCAGAAGCTAAAGCACCAGCCCCACCCGCAGGCCTTGCACACCCAGTCACAGCCTCACAACATCTGGCCTCAGCACACAGATGGGAAAGAAGCAGCACTGCCTCCAGCTGCAAGAGCACCCACAGGTTTCAGTTCCACTCCCACTGGATCAAAACAGACCACATCCAGTCAAAAGCTGAATCTATAAACAATCATCAAGGCCAACYCCAGACTTTAGTTAACAAGGCCACAGACCCAACCTTCCTAACAACACCGGGGCTAAGTAGTGTCCAAARGAAGGAGGTTACAGGTCCAGGGAGGACACTGTGTCAAAGAAGATCCCACATCACACGGGTTACCATAAGCTGCAGGAAGCGATTAGTCAAATCTGCTTATCCTGCAGCAGATGGCTGCGAGGCTCCCAGGCTGTGGGGCTGAGACACCACAGGTCTGCTCACCACAGCACTGCTGAGGGGCTCTCACCTTCCTTGCTTTCCTGATTGGCTCGATCCTTCTGCTTCTTCTTGTTGGCRGCATCATCCAGGCCCCGAGACACTCTCCTCTGGCCAGGGACATTCGTGCTGCTGGACATTTTCAGCCGTTTGGAGGACACAAACGGCCCGCCGGGGTCGGTAATGGAGTCTGGGTCAGGGGTGCGACGTTTTCTTCCTGGCCCAGCTATCTTGGCGACTCTCTGTGGTCAAACTCTCTGGCAAGGAAGTAGTGGCCTAAATAGAGGAAAGAGCGAGCATGGCAAGAGGAGCAGGTGGAATAGGCCCAGCAGCATCAGGATCCACTCTTTGCCCCAGGGCCAGTGCCCTTATGTGACCTTCACCGTGGTGTTTATGGGAAGCCCCACGCAGTGCTCAGTGAGGAAACCTACCTCATCACAGCTGCTACAGTGCTTACTGCCAAAAGCATGTGCTTGTCAATGCTCCCAGCATACAACCGGGGGTCTTCAGTATGTGGCACGCATTAAAAACCTGGAAAGCAAGTGTCATGCTCATGGCTCCCACTATAGCAACACTGGCCCAGAGAAGCCCCTGGTGCTAACAACACCTGGAGACACAGCTGAGGGCAAGGACATGAGGAGGCCTGGATCTGCAAAATTGAGCCTCCAGAGTCAACTGGGGGAGCCTATCACGCAGCTTGGAGCGACAGCTATTTCAGTCAAACAGTGCCCTGTGTAACAGGGCCAGAAYAGGAGCCAGTAACACCCTAAGAAGGAAGCAGGTCTGGGACAGTCTCCCATGACAGATGAGAGCAGAGCTCCCTGGCAAAAGSAGAGTTCCTCCCCCTTCGCCCACTAGCCGGGAGCTTAACCAGCATGAGTGCACCTTGAATATTTATCTCCCAGACAGTTTACAGACAGCGTCAGCAGGGCCTGGCCTGGAAACAGGATACCTCTGCTCTTCGTGCCCCAGGAAGAGAGCAGGCTGAAAGGGGCACATAAATGGCTCACCCCTGCCCCCTCAGACATGCCCTCCCTACAAAGCCAGCTCCTCTAYAGCGTTAGGCAGATGCTGGCACAAGGGCTAGTCCGTTGCACTCATGAGTGTCACCCTGTGGTGCTCAGAGTTTTGAGAGAGGAGAGCTGAAACAACCTACAGAAAATAGTCCCACTGGAGGTGTCTCTGTGGAGGCGGTGAGAGCAGAGACCTGGGAAGGTTTCCTCCCTCGTTGCCCTGGCTGCACAACCCGACCCTGGCAGTGCTCACCAGCCTGMAGGGGTTTGCAGCAGGGAAACGGGCCCAGCCACACGGATCCCGCCCACCCCCAGGTGCCAGCTGCCTGCTGCAGCTCCCAGTGCACTGATTCACACACATCCCACGGCCCAGCTCCCATCTGAGGACACGGAGCCGAGCCCAACAGCATCTTGTCCTAGCCCAGCTCCACGGAGCSTGCCTCTCCCTCAGTGGGAGGCAAGCTGTGCCCTCGGGAACACCCTATTCTGCCCTCACCCATGAACCAAGCACAGACCCCACACTCAGTGTGGGCACAGCCAGTGGCAGGAGGCACTACATCAGAGGGAGGACACTGCCWGTCCTGTGCTGGCCACCCCAGGTTACCAGGCCATTTGTCTTCTAGAAACGTTCAGGGCAACAAGTAGTCACAAATGTGAGACCATAGTCACAAACCAAGAGGGACTCCAGAGGGCAAAGCAGCCCAATCCTGCCCTCAGCTCTGGCAAAGCCAGCCCCATGACAGGCGCTGCATCCAAACCACTTCTCYTCAGGCCAACCCGCCCTCACAACCAAGAGCCACTGAAGCCAAGTGAAAAGCTGAGTCCAGCCCAACTGCCTGGCACAGACAACTCCTGCTACCCACAGCAGAGAGAACCAAAGTGACCTAGAGACCAGGATGCTGAGCACTGTCCAGAGTTCCAAACAACTTGAAAGAAGGGCAGCAGTGTCATCCCCATGCTGCTACASACACTGGGTCTCTCCAGGATGCAGAAGTGCTTCTGGCTCCAGAGGGAATGGGAAGGGCCCCCAMAGGAAGGAACATGGCCATGATTTGTCARGCTAGGCCTCTGAAGCCAACTGCATGGTGTCACACAATTCCAATCCCCAYTGACACTTAACCAAGTCAGTTACAGGTGTTGAAGAAGCTAACCTGGGCTCAGCAAACATGGGAAAGTATTTTTTGTTGTCTTTCTTTTGCCTCTAGAGTGAAAAACCCAGAAGAAATGGGAAACAAGAAGCAGTGACTGATTCGTGCAGGGCCAGSTGAGGCTCCATCGCCTCCTTCCTGCACCTCCAAAGGGGTGGCASAGTGTAATTACTGGGCAGGGTGAAAGCAAGCTCTGAGAAATATCCTGGAGGGCTGAGAAAGGACAGGCCTCTCCCCAGGAAGCGGTGAGGAAGACAGGCAGAGTTGCATGCCTGCTTGTCACTGCTCCAGGAGAAGCCTGCTGCTCTCATGCCTCATTGAGGGCTCAGCTCCCTCGAGCGCTTTGCCGACAGTTATTCCTCATGGCAGGCAGGAAAACCAAAGGGGCTGGAGCTCTGCCCATTCCAGCTGCCAGACTGATGGCAGCCTGAGGCTGCTGCARGCACCTCAGGGTTTTGGGGGAGTGCAGGCAAAGCACAGGTTATTCAGGGATTCAAGCAGGCGAATGGGAGACTTTCTGCCACCAGGAAACACAAATCCAAGCAGCATGTTCAGCCCCTGGGTGCACAGGGGCACAGAGGTATTGGCACCACTACCGTTGGCACGGTAGGCGTCACTGCGGGGGAGAGATGGCGAAAGGCCATTCTGGCCGGATGCCAGGTGAACCTCTGGGAAGCACCTGATGAGCTGAGCACTCCTACAARACCTTACTCAATCCCCTGAGCCAGGGAAGCCTGGCCACGCTGCCTCCCTGTCCTCTGCTCTCCCTGCCTTTGTGCTGTGTACCAGATCCAGACGCCAGCTGGGGCTTTCTCCCAAGTGTGTCTTACACCAGAGCAGTTTCCCAACACAGCTCATGCTGAGACTGCAAACATTTTGACTGGCCAGAGGGAAGGGAGAAAGAGGCCAAAGAGAAGGGGCACTCCTCCCCACAGCAGAACCAGACTGGGCGGGTGTCAGAYGTAAACACTTGGGAAGGACAGCAGAAGGTGCTCAATGAAATGCAAYTTCTGACCCATGTCTGGGGCAGGTTTAGTATTTAGCAGGAGGAGCTCCCTGATTCTTGCCCACAGCACTCCTCCTCAGTGCCCAAAGGCCTTTACAGGGGTAGCTGCAGAGAAGGGTGGCAATCTCAACAGCATCCTCTTTCCAGGGACTTTTGGATCCTCCATGTCCTGAATACAGCCAACACAAACACGTCCCTTGTGCACCCACATACTTTTGTCATCTTTTGTTTCTGGTTCCCACRAGGTACCAGAAATCCCAAGGCTCAAGCTTGCCTTTTACTGCTGTTTCTGGGYATGCCTGACACCCAGGTGGAGCCAGGGCAAGCACAGAGCCCCCTGGGGTAGCTACTCAACAGCACTGTCACTCAAAATGTTTCCAAACCATGTGGAAATCACTGTGCCCCCAGCGCATCGTGACAGTCGTCAGCCCTGTGCTGAGTAGGAAGCCCAGCAGGCCCCGCTCCCCCATTCTGGGGACGATCACAGAATCATAGAACGGTTTGTGCTGGAAGGGGACCTTGAAGATCATCTAATTCCAACCCGCCGGCGACGGGCAAGGATAGTAATGAGAGCGTCCAGACAGCAGCCGGCGGCCCCTAACCTGCCCGGTGCTGCTGCCCGGCCTCAGGCCCMGCGTGAGAGGAAAAGGACTGTGAACGATGTTTGTATGAACGGTGTTTCTATCAACGGCCCCGGCAGGCAGAGCACGAGGTCACCGCGCCGGCTGCCGCCCGGGGCCGCCGCGCTCGGCCCGTCCCGCCGAGCCCTGCTCTTAGTCCCCGCCGCCCCAGCTCCTGCCGCTCCGCATGCTCTCTCCGCTCAGGCCCGTCACAGGCTCCACCGCCGCCATCCGCCGCCCGCCTCGCTCTCCGCCGCCCCGGCCCGGCCGGCCCGGCCCGCCCCGCACTCACGGCCCCGCCCGCCGCTCCGGTCTGTTTGTGCCGCGCCGAAGTTCCGAGCGGGCCGACAACGGAGACAGGCCCGAGCCCGTGACGCACTTCCGGGAGCCGCCGGGCGCCCCCACGTGACGCGGGGCGGAGGGGGTGAAGCGTCACGTGACGCCGGCACGGGGGTGGTGCTGGCGCGTTCCCGCGGCAACGGGAGCGAGCGTGGGGGTCCCGTCTGCCCTCGGGGGGTCTTGTCTGCCCCGTGMGGGTCTCGGGTTCCATCCGTGGGAATGCCAGGCTGATGTGTGGGTGTCCCGGGTCCGCTGTGCCCCCCCCGAGCCCCGCTGCCAATTCCCGCTCCCACCGCCCGACCCCAAGTTCCGCAGTGCCCCCCCCCCAGAGCAGTTCCCAGCCTGGGCAAACCGCTGTGGGCCCCGGAGCGGACACGCGCCCACGGCACGGCGCGGAGGTGAGGTGGTGTTGCTCTGTAACTTTATTCACACGGGGGTACCCTGCAGCCCCCACCCGCCCACCGCTGCGGGGGCAGAGGGTGGCTCGGCGGGAGGAGGCCGGGTGCTCCAGGRGGGTCCAGGCCCCTCCGGGGGATCACTGGCAGGTGTTGTAGATTTGGACCTGCTGGTTGATGGTGGCCAGCACCTCCCTCATTCTGGCCTCCAGCCCGCCCAGCTGGGCTGCTTTGGCGTCCAGCACCCGCTCATTCCGCTCATATTCCTCTTCCAGCGCTGCAGGGACAGGGAGAACACGAATCAGCCGGGCCCCCACCACCGCTCCCACCACCACCCCAGCCCCGCTCCCAGCCTCACCTCGCAGCCGCTGCAGCTTGCCCTGGGCATCCTGCAGCAGTCCTGCAGCCTCATCCCGCAACTGCTGCGCCCGGCTGCCCGCCTGCCTTGCGCCCTGCGCCCGGTGCTCCACCAGCTCCTGTGCCGTCCGGTACCGGTCCCGCAGTCGCCCCTCCAGCATCTGTTGGGCAGTGCATGTGGCAGTAGGATTCTCAGGGGATCTCTGCTGCCCCACTGGTGCCCCCTGATCACCCACCTGCTTGGCCTCATCGGCTCGGTCCCGTGCGGTGTTGGCTGCCTCCTGGGCACGTGTCGCTGCCAGGCTGTTGTTGGCACGTTTCACCTTCAGGGCGTCGGTCTGCCTATCCAGGAGCCCAATCTGCTCCATGGCACCCGCCAGCTGCTGCTCTGCACTTCCTGTCTGGGTCTGCATCTGAGGATCGGTGGCGTGGGGTTTTGGTGTGATCGCACTGACCACATGGTGGGCATGGGGTCCCATGGTCATAGGGATGGGGCTCTTACYGTGCCGAGGACTCTCTCGCTGTGCTGGATGTCACTAGCAGCTTGCTGCAGTGCCTGCTCCGCCATGCCCTGGGCTCGCCGTGCCTCCTCCAGCGCCTGCCGCACCGCCTCGGCTGTGCCCCGCACTCCCTCTGCCCGTGACCTGCAGCCAGACAGCAAGGCCTCAGCACAGCCTGGGCTGGGGGTCCCTGGAGAGACTGCATCTTCATGTCCCTGGGCTCACCTGGCTCGCTGGGCATCCTGCAGCAGCTGCCCAGCTTGACGCACATCACCGGCCGTCTGCTCCAGGATGGCATCCACACTGGCCAGGCTGCGCACCCGCGTCTTGATCTCCTCGGCCAGGCGGTGGATCTGGTCCGGTGCGGCAGGGAGTGACAGTTCCAGCACTCGGCTGGCTACCACCTCGATGCTCTCGGGATCAGCCCCCTCCTCTGTGGGTGGAAGTAGTCAGTGTGCTCTCTACAGCACGCTGGGGTGGAGGGGACAGGCAGATCAAGGAGCAAAGAGGAACAAGGGGCAGGGCAAGGGGGCCAGAGATGGCGTGGAGGGCACAGGATGATTGGGGCAGGGCAAGGACTGTGCAATGCAGCATGAGGCAGGGGTGGCACAGCCCACATGCAGTGTGGGGATCATGCAGTGCAGGGTCAGTGCAGTGTGGTTCAGTTGCAGAGCCAAAGCACTGGGCAGGGGTGGCCAGCCCTCCCGGCATGCCGGCACTCACGGCTCAGGAAGGCCTTGACTTGGCTGATCAGCTCCCTCAGCTCCTTGTTGGAGCTCTCCACACGGGCCCTGGTCTGGTTCGCCTTGTCCAGGGCTGCCTGCGCTCGTAACCGGGCCTCCTCTGCCTTCCCCTTGGCCTCTGCCACCTGAGCATGGGCAGAGACCCTCGGTGCCAGCCCCAAGGACTGCAGAGTACAGCTGTGCCACCTGATCCCATCAGCGCCCWTGTGCCACACACCTTGTGAGAGAGCTGGTCCATGTCGCTGGCAGTCTGACGCAGCTCCTCCTGGGCATGGCGTGCCCGGTCCAGCGCACTGTCAGCYTTGGACACAGCTCCACCACAGCTCAGACCGCCACAGCGTCGTCCCCCATCCTCATCCCGGCATCCGGCACCCCCACAAGGGCTCTCGGCACAGGGCACATCACCCACCGCACCGCAGACCTGCAAGGCAGCACAGGATCAGGGCAGCTCTGGGTGCCATTACCCCAGTCCCCTCCCTATGTCCCACCTTCTCGTTGAGCGGGTGCAGGCTCAGGGTCTGTGCCCTCGCCGCCAGGTCCATCAGTGCCCGCCGGTTGGCTGCGTTGTGGCGATTGAAGTCATCCCTCTGGCTGGCAAGGAGCAGCTCAGTGCGGTGACGGGTGGCTGCCGAGATGCTGATGGGGCTGGGCACAGCACGGGTGGAGGCGTCTGCCCGGCGCTCAGCCTCCCGCGACTCCCCGTAGGATTGGCGGATACTGTCATAGGCACCTGAGGGTGGCAGGGGCACTGTCAGATCCCCGGCCACCCTGAGCACCCTGGCACGGCWCTGTGGTGTGGCTCACCAAGGAAATTGGAGGTCTTGAGGGTGTGCAGCCGCTGTTCCAAGTCCTGCAGGCTGTGGTTGAGGGCGCGGGCGCCCCGGTCCACAGCGTTCAGCACATGGCTGGCATTGAAGTTGGCATCCTGAGCAGCCGTCAGCTCCCCTTCCACSCGTGTCAGCCTCTCAGTCGCCTCCTCGATCTGCCGCCTGCAAGGGAAGAGGGTGAAAAGCTGCCCCCAGGACCACCCTGGGAGCCGTGCCCTATGCTGGGTGCTCACCGCAGCCCCTCCGTGGCGTGTGTCAAATGGGCGGCGGTAGCAGCAGTGGCRTTGCGGGTGGCCACCACATCACGCACCGTGGCCAGGTTCTCCTCCAGYCGCCGGAAGGTGCCCTCAAAGGCGCCAGCAGCCCCGGTGTGCTGCAGGAGGCTGGCCCGCTGTGCCAGCGCCCGGGTGCGGGCGGCCAGGTCCTGCACCACACGGTCCCAGTCCCCAAAGCAAGGGTGGCAGGGCTGGCAGGCAGGGAAGGTACCAGCAAAGCCCCGGGCACACTGGTCACAGCGGACTCCAGAGATACCAGGCCGGCAGTCACAGTGGCCGCTGCTGCGATGGCACTGGGCACTGGCTATGCCACGGGGGTCACAGTCGCAGGCTGCAGGGAGAGCGGTGTCAGGGCACCACGGGGCCCACTGTGGTCCCCCCACTGGCACCAGCTCTCACCTCGGCACTGCTGCTGCGGGTTGCCCCAGTGGTGCTCCTGGCAGTCGGTGCAA